AAAAAATCAAAAGGACTTCGAAAGACCTTTCAAAGAAGCTATTACTTGATACCACTTGTCATTTACAATTTTTAATGGAATGACCCTGAGGGCAGAGGGTGAAAGGGGGTGAAGTAGTTTTTGGTTAAAAAGTTGTCCCCTTTGACAAACCTTTTGACGTGTCTCGGCGTTTTTTCCTTTAATCAGTGGTTTTCGATAAATCCGTGGTGGGAGGTTTCCAAATGAACACCATGTATACCAAAATTTCATGTGTAAGTCCACCAGACATCATTAGAAACCCACGGATCGCCCTTGAATATCCTCACATTTCCATAGATATCCTCGTGATTATCCTCAGACAGATTCTCTACAGATGTCGAAACTGCATTGGAAAATTTGCAATAACTATTGATACCGAGACGTTCATTGGAAATTCTTAAGCAATTTGTTGGAGCACCTACCTTACCATTCCAAAATTTGGAAAATACACTGGAGATCAAGCTGCAGGTTCTCTGTTGTTTGAAGGTAAATTTTAAGCGGGTTTCACAAAATGGGGCAACTTTACCCTCATTTAACCTACACTGTATCTCTCACCGGTACGGAGATCCCAATGGTGAGCCACGAACTTGAACCCTCGCTTGAACCACACCCTGTACATACAGGGTCTAATAATTAAGTGTCAAAAAAGTGGTTGGCAGAGGGAAATAAAAAGGATTTTTTAAATAGCAGAAATGTCTAAAATGTTTCATATGGGAGATGCACCTCCAAACGTTTCACAATTTGCATTGGTTCTACAATTTTTTTGTTCGAAGATATGCTCAACTTGCCAAAAAGTGGTCGCAAATGCGTAAATCGAATGTAGACTCAAGGCAGGTTTTTAAAATCCCGTTCCTGTTGCGGTGGGAATTTCGGAAAGTATTTCACTAAATCAGAAACCTTCGCGGGCATACGTCCAACCATTCTATAAAGTTTCATTGCATTCGGATGAACGCTCACAGTAAAATAAAGAGACATGAACACAGATAAATATTCATTTTTATTTATATAGATAGGAGTCCTGTGTCAACGATCATTAGTCTGGGGAAATGTAAAAATGCTAAATAATATACAGTGTGTCCCAGATCGCGTGGGATTGCATGGGTAACTTTCTTATTATTAAAGATAGCGAAGTGGTTAAATGGACAATGTTTTGCAGTTTTAGATCCTTATTTAAACTTTCCTTTTGGAAATTCAAAATGTCGAATAAGTTCGACGTAAATTCAAAAAAACTAAAATTGGTCATCTCCTTTAATGCCTTATATCATCGGAATTATAAGAGATATAAAAAAAAGTTTTATATAACAGTTACTGTCTTTGATAGGCTTCATTTAGAATTGATGTTAAACACAAATTCAAGATGGATACTTTTCAGGAACATTTACCAACTTTCTAAAGTAAAATAGGCGCCATATTGGATTTTTAGATTATTTGATAGATTTTTTAATTCTTTCTTCAACGAGCTATCATATCATAAGATTGAAAATAAGATACCAGTTATACCAACGTTTTTTTTTTATTTTACCTAATCATGTAGGCTGTGATGAATTAAAAAAAAATCTATTCCAGGCAACAAAACAATGAAAATAATTATATCAGATGTTTAAAATATCAGAGGCCCACTCATGGGAGGGGGTTTGAGCGTTACAACTTCCTCCAAAATTTTATGTAAGTAGGACTAGAAAAATTTTGACTTTTAAAACGTTACTTATTGACTATCCTATTATGCATACCTACTTACATACCTATAAAATGGTGGATGGTGGTATAACTACAAACTATCCCCCGAAAAAAATGTCATGCCATTATCCAGTTAAACACATTTCAAGACACTTCGCATCTGAACAATGCGAGGTATGTTGTCTTATTACGCAGAATATTGTTAAGGCTTTAGGTTCCTCGCACTCTGCTTATAGTTTTCTTATTGTATCTCATCATTATTTCTTTTGGATTACCTTTTACGTTTGACCTACTTGGATATTTACGCATTACGTATTTGAGACTTGTTCCTGGGTTATATTACGAAACCGTGAAGCACATTACATTGTATATCGCCCCGTTATACCTGACGCTACACACTTTGTTTTTGTACCGAAAATTATTGATTAGATCAATAGAAATTTAGTTATTGGTGCATCCTAAAGTATTTTTCTTGAATTTATCGTTATCCTACTTGATATTGTACGAGCTACCCGTGGTTGAACAAAATTTTGCTGTTGCTAGTCTAAGGTAATTCGAATTATTGATTCTTTTACGTATTCAATACAGGTTTAGTATACGATTAGCTTCCCGTGTCAGACGTTAGCATTGCTATTACACAATATCTTATGTGCAGCGCGATTCACTAACCTTTTTATTTGTTTGTGTGTATGTGCTGTTTTCTGTTACAGAAAAGGCTGAACGCGCCCTTCTGAACTCAAAAGGTCGCGACCCGAGGTTCAAAGATAAATTTTTTTGTTATTTTCGTCCATTCCCTGATTAACGTTTGATTACATATTGGTTTTCGATACAATCGACAATTATTACAATTATTATAGTTCCGTTGTTTCAGCAGAAGCTTGGTTTGATATTAATATTGTCTTTGACTATGTACAAGGGGACCCTTGTTACTAAAAATTATAGCAGGTCTACGAGTATATATTACAGTGACCTATTTGTAATATTATTGAGATCATTTGATGTTCTATTCCTATCGAATATTTTATTCCTTTAGCTTAGTGAGACCAGAACAAGGATATCTTTATAGTATGTCTTGTTTCCTCCTTCTGGTAAGTATTCTCTCCTCTCTTTTGGCATTTACTGAAGACTAAGTGGTGCTTATCCGGATTACTATTACTCCTTCCCCTTTTTGCTTTATCTTTGTTTGTGAGAATGAAAGAATGAAAAAAAGCAAAGATATCGAAATCAAAATTTCAAGCCATGCTAATCGACATCAATAAAGGCATCGTGGTGACTGATGGGTTCCAGAGGGTCAAACTGTATACCAAACTGGCCTTTTGAAAGTGTTGGCAACACTGCGTAAGAAACAGCCGGAGTTGTGGAAAAAGAAGGCGTGGATGTTGCACCAGGACAACGCCCCTGCCCATAATGCGCTGTCTGTGAAGTGTTATTTAGCCGCTAGAGGCACTAAAGTACTCGAACACGCGCCTTACTCGCCTGACTTTTTCCTGTTTCCAAAGATCAAGTTGTCGTAAAAGTGAAAAGGTACTGTGTTCGAGTCGATGAAAGAGGTGAAGCGAAAATCTGCGGAGCTGATAAATGCTCTTACAAAAAAGACTTCCAGCATTGCTTTGAGCAGTGGAAAAAATGAATGAAGCGGTGTGTAGCAAGGGGAGGGGAGCACTCGATTATAGAATAATTTAAAAAATATAACTCTTTTTCATGAGCAGTCTCGTTATTTAATCCTTTACCTCGTCTGTATTGTTAGTGTTAGAGTATCTATCTTTTCCAATTCCTGTTATCAAAATCATAAAACTTTTTTGATATCGCTGATGAAACACCAAGGCACTTTATGCAGCCTACAAATCCTAGGAATTGTTTATTTCTCTGCATGATTTGGTGAAGTTAGTATCTACTTTCTTTCCCTATTTACATCCAGTCACATTGGTTTGAGGCTTTAGCCTGAAACTGACTCCATAAAAAAATGAGATCAAGTTCCAAAATTTGTCAGGCCGAATGAATTTTTTTGGAATCACAAGGGTTTGCCTATTAATTATGATTCCATTCAGAAATGTATCAATTGTGAGTGATGAAAACTAGATAAAAAATGGTATACATCGTCACGTCCACGGCAAGGACAGATCAATTTTTGTGCATTTTTTTTCATTTATTAGTCACTAAAGGTTAATCACATCAAATTGATTGTTTATTTAACTTCTTTACTATTTGTGCTATTAACATAACTGTAAACCGAAAAGTGTGATGAATACTTTGCGCACACAACTTATTTTCCCACGTGCCACAAAAAACGATAATCTTCAATGGCCACAACAAGGTCGTAGAATTACCTTCCTTCCGTCTTAATTGACGAAACATGGAGATTACCGACCTTAAAAAATTACTTCCTGGCGCCTGCAATATATTTACACTTCCAATTTTGAAGTACGTATTTCCGGGGAGATTAAAGCTTCCTTTGTTTAAAGCTTCTATTATCTAACCGAAACGGTTACGGTACACGATTTATGATTAACTAATTAACGATGCTATTGTGAACGATTGGAAAAACGAAAACTACAGATAAAACGTGGGAAATAAATAAACGCGGAAGAGGTTTACCACTTCACGAACTGCAATCAACATTGTTCTGTGTGTTCAATTTAATTGGCAGTTCCGTTATAGAAGTCTTACAATTGTGGAAAACACCTACAAAAATCCCTTATTTTTATTTATGTCGCTCTCAGCGAAATCTCAAACCACATCAGTGAAATCCGAGAAAATGGTATGTAACTAATGCGACCTTGGTATGTTTGCTTGAACGCATTTTATAATCGTCTCGGTCGCGATAATGCAAATAGGTAATGATTATTTATTTAAGCAAAGATTTGGGACCACATCATGTCAAAATATTTACTTTAATGGCGACGCCGAATTTTGTTTGAGCTTTGTGGCAAATATTTGAGATGTAGGAATGCCATAGCTGTAAATGGAACAAAGGTTTTGAGTTGCATGTGCTCAGTAAAGCAATTTGACCAAATCCACGGAAGTGTATGGGACTGTGGCACGATAGTTCAACGCCAATTCAATTAACTGACAAGTTTTTAAATTTTAAGGGTTTTAACAAACGTGCTATTTTCCGATAAGGTCTAGATTCTCTTGTTTGAAAGTAACCAAATTGTCCCTTTTCGCTTTAATTGCACTCATGAACGAAGAGATGTTAAAAAAGACATAAATTACGTCTATGTTTACCATTTTCGGATCGGGTGAAGCGAATTAATGGGCCAATTAAAAAAATATATTCAACAGTATAATTGGCGCAATAAACTTACCTTCAGGTTTTAATCTTTCCATAGCGAAACGTGTGTAAGGAGGTGGAGGCGAATCTGAAACAGAAAAGAAAATTTTTTATTTTGACATTTCCAGCATATTTATTAATTATGATCATTAGTCTCCGTCTGCGTTTTTCAACTAAAATTCGGCCACCGATAGCAAGGAAACGAATGCGACATTGTAGCAGAAGTTTATATTCACGTGACACACACGTGTGGGAATTACTTTAAAATTTTTAGAAACATACTTGTGAACTAGACATAACATTTTAGGAAAAATTTCAACATCTGTGTAGATCGAGTAGCGTATTTGGCGCCAAATCAGGTCAATAAGAACGAAAAAGTGCCAGAAAAGTCAAGCAATTCACCTACTGCACACCTAACGAAAGTAAAGTTTCGGTAGATAAAGGGGTTCCGCAAGGATTTATACTAGGTCCAGTTTTATACACGACCGAAGAACAATTAACGAAACCAAAGCGAGTAAATTCGAAATTAGATGATAAATTAAATAATAGGAGGCAGCTAATAATAACTCACAAGTCACAAGTTTATTAACAAAAACTAGTGGCATCAAATTACAACGAGCAAGAGCAATTAAATAATCGAGAAATGTTACAATGCAAACATATTCCATGAAATCGAGTATTCGGAATGTTATAATTTTAAAACAGATTCACTCGAATTAATCTAACAGTTAAATTGCGCAATTAATTGTATATGAACTACTGATCTTGCTTATCGCATTTTTAGTTAGTTAATCAATAGACTTTTGTTCCAGTCTATTGTAAGCGTAACGTCGCGATATCAATTTTCTAAAATTTTATATGCAGATGTGTCAGCGTAAAAGGTACAGATGTGTCTAAAAGGCGATAAATAAATCATAAATTGAATAATATGCTATAAAATCTGTGTGTATGTAATTAAAGAGGATTAATGACATGTAATCACACGTGTAAAAGTGTAAATTAAATGCGTGTATCATCGCCAAAGAGGGAAAGTGGTACTTAATTACATTCCGTAATTATTTTAAAGGCGAACGCAATTGACATAATAAACCGTGTGCCGTTTTCCTTTTTTTTTCAGCTTACCTACTCATTTATATAACACCCCTGATTCGCTGAGCGGCTTTCTTGGAAAAAATGTTTCGGGGTAGCAGGATTATGGGTAAATTGGAAAATTTTGAAAAACCCAACAAGTGGTGGAAAATACAAAAATCGAGCCAACTTGATAGATACGAATCTTGTAGACATTTTTTAGCACTCTTTCGAGTTGATTCTACATAAATCGTACCACAGGTGAAATTAAAAATTAGAAATTATTTCAAATATTCATATAGGGTGCAATTGTAACCTCAATAAAATTTATAAATTGAGTTTCCCTTTGACCATACCTTCAAATGTAGGGTGCTGATTTCGAAGAAAGTTATATTTCGGGCGTATCTCACGGTACGAAGCGTCATACAATACAATTGACCCCCCCCCCCCCCTAAGCCCTACAAAATGAAGCATTTTTTTTGCGAAAAAGTTTGACTTTTTTTAAAATTAAGGTTAAATATCTGAATCGACTCTGCAATCACTATTAGTCCAGGCTATATAATATTTTTGTATGAAAAAAATTACTTACCGGGCTAAACCGGGTTTTTCAGGCAGGTGGAATGAATAGAAATTGGGAAAAAATAATTAAAACAGCTGAATTTTTCCGCGGGTGAAATCACGGGGGTTGAAATGGGTGGAAAGTGGTATTTTGCAAATTGTTCCAATCGCTCTAGTGAGTATGCTCTTCAGACGCGCCGCATCAATATACAGTACCATGAAAAATAAATCCAGGGAGAAAGGCGGTAGTTGGTAGAAAACACTTGCTTTCGTTGAGATTTTTAATTAGAGTAGCATGAAAGGTAAAACTAATGTACCCCCCTCCCCCCCTGGTCTCATGCGGAATACAGTTATAGTTTGTAGAAACTAATTTCTTTCGATGAGACCTTTTATTAAAATACATGACGGGTACAACGTATTCCGCCTCCACCCCCGCGCCCATAAAAGCATGCGTATAAAAAATCTGAGACCAATTAGTTGTCGCACGTTTCACTTTCAGAAACAGCATCTCGAGAAATAATTCAGGGGGGTGACTCACCTTAAGATAACAAAGTTTGGAGGATGTCTGAGACCCCTTCAAGGTAGAAGCTACCTATTGCAAAAAAAATCCAAGCATCTAGGACCATTCCCCCTCGAATTCCCCTAAAAGTAGTTCAAAACCGCAGAAGTACGGACGGACGGACAAAACGCAAACAATATCACATTTTTTAAATTCTACGCCCCCCCCCCCTACGCCAAAGAAGGGTTCTATTTAAAAAACGCACCGCTCCGCGATACCGCAACGCTAAAGCTGACCGAGGGCTGACCATGACGCGCTTCTCCCTTAATGCAGCAAATTCGAACTCAAAAGCACCCAGTAGATTTTTAATGCATTTTAATTCTCAAATGGTGCATCTAATGGAATGACACTGGCCTAAATAAAAGGGTTGCTGACCGGCGAACTTACCTGACCTTTTTCCTCTTCCATTCCAATCGATCGAAATTATTGTATCATTACAACGGTTGACGTTAGCGCCTTTTAATAATAACAAAACGGGTTGTTTTTATTAATTATGAAAATATGGTTAAAAATGTTATGGTAATTAAAAACATTCATGTTTATATGCAATCATGTAAATTTAATTAAATTTATCCAAGTGGAGAGCGACTACATGTATGAGAACGAGTTGCTTGCATAACCGCGACTTGTATAAACAGAACGTGTTTCTATTACTTCAATACCATAAATTACAGATTATTAGCTAAAGGCAAATATTAATTAAAATAGCTTTCGGAGTGACCTTTCGATTTGAAAATTTCGTAAAGGTAGTAGCGGGTAACGCAAGTAATTAGTATTTGTCATTGCTGGAACTTATGTTAGAATATAAATGAACACCTACGTAGCATTTCGGACTGGAATATAGTGTGCATATATCACTAGTAACGATAATTTAAAGTTGAAAGTACAAAAATAAATGAATATTGAAGTGCGCGCCTAAAGCGATAAATGTTTGCATATAGCGGCGCCTGCATAAACTTAAAATGGTTTATTTATGGTTCTTTAAGCAACTGCAAACTTGTAAGCGCGTAGTACATTAGAAGATAGGTATTAAAATTAATCGAAATTATTTCTGGTTAAGGTGTGAAGGAGTGGACCAAACACTCTTTACCCAGGTAAATGTGCTTATTATGTTGCATTTCGACGAGTTTCTTCGCGTGGGATTAATTTATAAATATAGATATTTTCATAATCTCTCCTTATATGGCTAAATAAACTTTATGAGATACACCTGACATTACCATTTTTGTGTAATACCCTGTAGGGATGGCGCCTAATAACCGTATGAAATCGTATACAAAAACGGGTGTTGTTCCACGCTAAGTAGGTTGGAATCCGGTTCTGCTTTTCAAGAAAACTTCCTGTCTTTCTTGGTGTACTCTGTACGTTACTTTTTCATTTTTCTGTCCATCCAGACGCAGATTGTAAAACCATCAAACACTGGAAAATTTTCAGTAGGGTATTTTAAGCCTCAAATCTGTCCTCGTGGTGCAATCTGATACTATGGAAGTATTATTCAAACCTATGGAGTTCCTGCTTTTCACATTACATGAAACCGTGGAAACCTTCAGGGGGTAAATACAAGCCATTTTAGGAGATATCCTTCACTTCCTGAAAATTGCTTTAAACCTAACATTACCCGTAAAATCCTCATTTCCAAACGAAACAAGTATAAGAAGATATTTTATGGTAGTTCTTGATAATGAAAAAGTAAGATGTCAACGCAACCCCTATTTCATAAATGTTCAAGGGTCTTAAGATTAAGGGAGTTGCGTACGCTGAGTAGGGTATCGGAAGTATTGGCGAGTTTGGTGTATAATGAAATAACCCTGGAATGTGAGCGTCTCTCACGTGTAGGTGGAGAGTGAATTGTGCAGGTCATCGTGCTGGCCATGGTTTGTTATTGGGTTATTGCTATGGAAAACCCCTGGCGTGACAAATATCCGAATATATCCCTCCTACAGTGCATAATGTGCATGAGCCCATGGCGCGGTCGCGGGTAGCGCTCGAATAGGTCAAGGTGCCGACCCTACACGAAAAATCAAAGGCCTCATTGCTTTCACAAACAGTTAGGGGATGATCTCGACCTGTAGGTGCGTTCGCAGCTCGGTTCGCGGGGAGGGTAATGACAGGTATAGACGTATAGTCCATAGATCGACGGCGGCCGAGGGTCCTAATTACGTGCCCGCGGCGTAACCCTTTCTCAAATACGCATGAGCTCCATTTTAACCCTTCAGGATGTCACCTCCAAAGACGCATTCAACCCCAATCGGAGTGTTTGGAAATCCAGAAAAGCTCAGAGTCAGCTCGGGGCGGGAGACCCTCCGGTGAGTTATAATTAATTGGCGGAAAGCGCAATAGTCAGACGAATGCTACCATGCCACCCCTTATGACCGTACGTATAGGCTTAGTGTAAAGAATAGAATACACTATGGTATAGGTTATAGGGGGCGTTTCTAATGCAAGGTAAGTTTACAGTAGATTTGCCGCATCTTAATAATGAGTTCTGACTCTCCCCATTTAATTAGCTTATACCCTTGTTAAAGATACCAACCCTTCTGCCCCGTCATTACATAAGTAACAATATCAATTTACAAATTTCCTCGCAAATTTATTAAAAATTCTCGCATTTCGCCAATTTATTTCCTTTTTACTTTCCGACTACATAGGAAGTATGTATAAAGGAAAGTATTGTACTCGTGATAAATTTTCCATAAGCCAATATTGCGTTTTCTGGACGTTTTGAAACACGGACGTAATTTGGCGTGCATATAGGGTGGTATGGGGAATCGCAAACGTCCTATTTTGGTTTTGATCCGTAACCATATTCATGGTTGTTGAGGGTGTCAAAAGTTTAAAAGAGCCATAACGGCTTGAAAAATTTTTTGTAAATTTTTTTCGCATTCACTGCCCATAATGGCTTA